AAGAAGCTAGGACTGAAGTTTCTTTAAAATTCAAACCTGAGATATGATGACGCGATTATGAAATATTATTGAAGTATATTATGAGGAAATATAACTCTTCTTTTGTTCCAACCAGCTACATAGACCGACAATGAACATGTCGACATGATACTTTTGTTTCTTGAAATTAGATTTCGAATAAAATTCGAATTCAGAAAATCTTCATCTTCTCCATACAAAACGATAATGTTTTAAGTCATATCACGTAATCATGACATAGATTTAAATATTATAGTTGAATTTTAGTGATGAAATAGATGACCTTATATGGCCAGATGAATCTATCCATCGATCAACTCGAGATGACAACATAGATTTGGAGAATATTCCAGCACTTCGAATCAATGTAGAAGAAAAAGTATTTGTACCTCTTCGCAATGTTTCTGTTGAAGCTTGGATTAATACATTTGCTGCTGATATTACTTTAACACAAACATTTATCAATTTGGAAGATAAACCAATCGAAGCTATTTACGTTTTTCCAATCGAGGTACTTCATTGCATTTCATATTAAGTAGTTGTGTTGCATTTTTGCGCATAGATGAAGAGCGTTCTGCAAACAAAAATGCATAAAGTTATCAGAGATCATGATTAGAACTGAGACAAAGTCGACTGCTCTGCAGAAATCTAACCCAAAAATTGTATACTTTTTGACGAGGTCATATCTATCGAATGTATGTCGTTGGTAGAATAAGCATAAAAGATATCATTATGTTATGCTTATTCCTCTGAATATAATATTTTTTTTATCAAGCACTACCTATTTGACAAGTGTTGAAATGAGAAACACATTGACATACTACTTTGTTGACTCTACCACGGACTATAATCAATATAGTGATGCTTCACATTTATCACTAAAATCGCGTCATCATATCTCAGGTTTGAATTTTAAAGAAACTTCAGTCCTAGCTTCTTTCAAATATTTACCATTGATTGAAATATAGTCTTCAATGAAAGTAAAGACCAGGAAACCTTTAATGGAGATTAATAAAAAAGAATGAATAATTTATTTTCTAATGTTCTACATCTAGAGAGATGCTCTGAAGAGTATTAGTTATCATTTGTTTTGTAGAATTTGATTCGTACATAAACTAACTTGATAGCTTTATTAAAATCATAATTTATTGTTTGTCTTTCGCTTAGCTACCGTTAAGTTACATAAATATGGTTTTCGTATCTATATTCTTTAGTGATGAACAAAATATTAATTTTATCTGAAATAAATGAAAAGCGATTCATATTACGATATATTAACAAGGATATCTTGTCG